ATTGTGTGAAAAGCGCTTGCAGATCGAGTTATTCAAGACGAAGTTGTAGCCGTTTCAATGCGACTAGGTGTGCCAGACCATAACTACCCTGAGCCTCCTTAAACAGCTAAAATCAATATTTTCGAAACTGAAAAATTAATTGTACTTTTAAAAGTAGAGTGTATTTCATACCTTTTATCGATATCTATTTATAAATTCTTCAAGAGATTTTGAAGATACTCGACAAAATACTGTGAACTACTTTTTGAGTAATTTCAGGTTCAAGTACAGAACCTACAACTGGCTACTTTTATTTGTCAAATTAGTTGAACATGTCTTCATCAAATGCTAAACACTTGGGATACTCACATTATATTCCATTTGCTTACATAATCATTAAGTGACTTCAGCATAAACATAGCCTCGTTATTGTCATTGTTCAACGAGTTACAAATCCTTGTTGCCTTGCGTTTATGCTCAAACCCTTCATTCCACAACTTTTTTCTTTCCTGCCCATTTTCGAGCAGTTTTCCCCTTTTGAATGCTGCTATGCTCTTACAGATAAAACGAAATCCATCCGTGTACGTACTTCCATCGTTGGTTCTTAGGTCCGGTTCTTCAAGGCGCTTGATGTACTTCTCTCCCTCCTCTATCTCCTTTAGTGTGGTCTCAACGAAGCCATGTCTAGTGAAACCAAGACAGAGCCTAGCCATGTCGTGATAGATAAATCGAAGGTAATAACCACAGCGTGGGATATCTTCAATATACCGTCGACACATTTCAATAATCGTTTCATAAATAGGCAACGATTTTTTTCTCCGCTTCTCGACTGACCCATCCTCGTAGAGAATACAATCAGTTAGTCTCTTAAGACCGACAATTTGCTCTTCCGGACTTTGGAAGTTTGAGATGAGAGAGTTTGCCTCGGAGGCGTAAGTTTCTGCCATCTCTAACCGATGCACGTGGATATAGTGTAAGGATTTTCGCGAGCAGGCGCGGGAGAGAATACGTGTAGAGTGTGGCCCTGCCCTGAAGGCATTCTGCGTCACCTCGTCCAGAAGAGCGATCGCTCTTTCACTTTCCCCACGGACATTGTATCCATATGCTAGTTCGATCATAACGAACAACTTCACCGACCAATCCTCAGATTGTTCTAGAAATGTCTGCCCTCTCTGATCCATAGCGTCCCAGTCCATAGAATAGATATACTTAGTGAAATCAAGCATGATGATTGTGTAGTTCTTAGGATACTGGCAACTTGCTTTTTGCATGAAGTCCGGTGAGACAGTGGTAACGCTACTAAGGTTCTCAGGAGGCAAGGCATTGACGAATGATTCTTCCAATCCATTGCCAGTTTGTTGTAAAATATTAAGAAATGCAGAGGTGGTTCTTTCGCCTTTGAAGAGAACAATATCAACTATCATAGTGCTTTGGAGTTTTTCGTCTTTCTGGTTTTCAATTTTTTCAACATCTTGGTCAGAGAGAATTCCCTTCCTCCTCAGTTCAGAGGGACTTATTCTCTGCTGTTGGTACTTCTGAAAAAACTCCTCAAATCTAGAATTTCTCCAGGTAAAGTAGTCTTCGTAGTCTATTAGCCGTTGTTTTTCTCTTTCGAATTTTTTTCTTAAGCTCTCTAATTCCTCGTGATACAAACAAACTGTTGTTTTTACAGCGTTTAGTTCCTCAGTAGGGAATCGCAATCTTCTAAAACATCCACGAACTTTATCACAAAGGGAATCGAACTCCCTAGTTGGTACTTTAAAGTTGTAGCGATGAACGACTTCATTTCTAATCTTACGAAGCTGGGTTATTTGGAAATAAATAGCTGGACTGTGAAGACGAAGACGTTGGCCAACGGAACGAGAATTTAAAATAAGATAAAACAAGACAGTGCTGTCGAACTCCGAGGAATTACCTTTACTTATGGTGTCATTTATCGTACTATATCTACTTCCAGTATATTCCCTCTTCCAAAATTCGCTTCCACTATGTGGGTCGTCATTCCACGTCAACGAAGTACACCTTTTCCATTCCGTTTTGAAGAACTGAACTAAAATTTTCGGAAAGATTTTTACCACGATATAAATCATCCGAAAATAATTCAACTCTCTTCTGGTAAGTCGTCGATGTGGAGGCATTTCGAAGGAATTTTCAAAGAATTTTATGGCGAATGTGTTTGCTTTTTAGACGACAGCGATTTTGAGGTCAAAACTGTTTATACTAATCTTGATATAAACAGGTTTAGCCTAAGGGGAAACCCCCAAGGATCGTATTGAACAGCGTGGTCTAATAACAGTCACATGAAAAAAAGGTGACAACACGGAATTCTTGGAAAAAACATAGTTAATGGAGTGGCATGGTTGGGAAACCTATTGTTTATCCATTTTTATATGACGTTGACCGTGCACAGTGAAGGAAAAGTTGCTCCATTTGTTCACAAATATTCGGGAATATAGAAGTTTTTTCCCCTAAAAAATCGTTCTAAAATATGTATCATTTGTTAATTAATCCTATATGATTTAAATATCAATCGTTTATCGAAAATAAAAATGGCCCTTTTTGATGCTTTCTTAACTGTATTTGCGCGGACATATTTATTCGCATAGTATATGGTCATCGCATAAAAGTTTTCACTTTCAAAATGTTCATACATGAAAATAATAAGGAAATGATTATTTTTAGCAATACTTGTTTTGGTTCATTGTGCACGGTCAGTATCACTTGATGGCACGATTCCACATCAAACGCAAAACAATAGCTTTGTTCTATGGAGTTTCCAAACCATTCCGCTYCATTAACTATGGAAAAAAGCAGTAAAAAATATGAGTTTTGAGCAAAACCGTAAAAAACGGTCGAATTTTGAGCCTAGAAACCTAGAGTTTAAATGATTTTTTTAGGAGCCGGCGTACTTCAGTTGGTTCACTATTTAGCAAGTTAATTGGAAAAAAAATACTTTTAAGTATCTTTTAAAAAAGATATGTTCTAATTTCAAAGTACAAAAAGTGCTTAACGAGCAAAATCGATTTCAAATGGACTTTGATCGAAATTTGAAAGCCGACACCAGATGACTTTGGAATGGCTTCCTACATGTATAAACAAATTCCACTTCACAAACATTCATTTTCATTTTAGGTCTAAAAGAATCTAGTTATATTAATTTCCAATAATTTCTAATAAAAGTATAATTTCAGACTTGAATATTGAGTTTTCCATGCTGTCATTGGTCGAGAAACCAGTGATTATGAGCAGTATTACATGTATGAGATAATACTATGAGATAATTTTCACTGCTTGAGAGTTGATTATATGATTTCCAAAAGTTTGCCAGATCGGAAGTAATACTAAAACGTTTTTTTATTATGAAATTCATCTTTTATCTGGTATTTAAGTCTAATATTATACTAAACAATTATTCCCCTCAGGCTCAGTGATCGTGGTGAATATTAACCTTGACACTCTAAGACTCACTGCTTGGTAAATATTCACCCATATTCACTTTGCCTTTAACTATGGCAAATAATTGTTATATAGTTCTCTCTCTTTATTCTTTGATCCAGTCAAGGAGTTGTGGAACAAAATAAGTGATGACGATGTCTGCACCTTTAGAAACAAAACAAAAAATAATAATATCAGACAACAGATCCCGTGCATTCCTCGATTCCAGACTCATTTACTCAGGGTTTTAGTGTCTAAGTAATCACAAATAACAACGGTAAAGTAAAAAAAATCCACTACCTCAACCCTGGAATTTTACGGCCTCCAGTGTAATATAATTAATTAATTGACATAACATTACCAAAAAACAATACCAGCTTTACAATCTATAGAAAGAGTCACAATAGATATAGCGAGAGACCAGCATAAATCATATGTTACACTGGAGATAACCTTATTCCTCAGGCCTTCACTGGAACACATGAATATTCTACACAATATTAAAACATTCATTAATAATTCATAAGCTTATGGTCCAATTGGAGCCACCATACACGTCACGTCATAAAGTCCTCTTCATTAGTATTCAAAACCACTCGAATACTATGAGGATGACTTCATCAGGGATGAAGTATGCATCCAAGTTTAGATGAAGACATAGAGCTTCATCAAGGTCATAGTCAACCCTAATGATCTTTGACTAACGTGCCTGTCTTTGCCTTGGCACGCAATATCCAACGTGTGGGAGCTTCTATTGAATCTGGTTGTGCATGCCTGTGACGTCAAATCTCTATCGAAGTATAAAAATCCATGTTCGTGACGTGTATGGTGGCTCCAGTTGAACCAAAATCTTATAAATTGTTCATGAGTGTTTTAAGCAGTTCAAAAAACTCGTAGATCGTGTTTTATCAGGTATAAAAGCACTCGGCTATGCCTCGTGCTTTTATACCTGATAAAACACTCCTACTCGTTTTTTAAACACTACATAACCTAGGATAACCCTGAGAAACTGAGAATTTAAAAGTGGAGTAAATGTGGTCTTTGATGGTGTCCAACATTCTTTATGACTCCAGGAGACTTCAGCTCCTCCCAGATAACACAGGTAACCCAATAAGAAAGAGAACAGACACTTGCCAGCTTTGCAGGCAAGTGTCTGTTCTTGACTCGAATGTTTTACCCTAGGAGATCTAACCGAAGAAAAAGAACTCATTTTTTTTGGCAAGATCTCTGAGGATAAATAAAAAGAATCAAGTCTGCAAAGCAGGCTAGAAATACACAGAACATAAGTATCTGGACTTGACACATTAAGTAATTAGCTTACCAGCTCTCCTCATGGACACTAAGGACTCCAAGACAATATCCTTCAGAACAAAAGCACCAGCTTTACTACCATGATACAACATGGCATATTCACCTGATACCTAATAACAAAGATAGAATTGGGAGCCATTTAATATTTATGGGTTTGTGAGGAGGGTGGAAGGCTATCTGGATTTTAGAAGGGTTCTGAGGGGACAGCTTTTTTCCCCCATCAAAAATTCTAGGGGCTATCGAGGGGTTCAATTTTTACTTACATCCATTAATATTTTGCAACCAAGAAGGGGGAGGGGAGGAATAAAATAGAGAGCATCAACAAGCATCAAGGATGCATTGACGATGCACTTCCGTCCTCAATTTTACCATTCTTTCTAAGATATGAAAAATCACCACCTGACACTCTAGCAAAAGCAGTAATGCCAAGGACAGTGATGCCAGAAGAATAAGTTCTTTGAAAATGTGCTTGCGCCATTATCCCGGTGTTCCTGTCATTAATATTGAGGTCCCTATTAGGTTCGTAAAGGGCGCTGCTAAAAGGGGTTACCTTAAAACTCAAAATCCACATAATACAGACTCATAAGTTATGAACATATTACCTTGCTGACTCCCTGCAACCCCTCCCCCAGGGGTGAGACAAGGGAAAGTACAAACTGAGGGTGGAAAAAGACACCACCTAAAATGATCTTCAGCATGTTTTCCAGGAATAGTAAAGGTTACTTACTTGGTATATTGCTAATGGCAACTCTGGGAACTGAATAAAAGAAGAATGGATGGAATGTGAGAAAATATCGTAAAAGTATATCTTTGTCATCTTTCTATTCTTGTGAGTCATTAGTATCCATCATTCTATTTCCATTTTTTGTAATTACAGATGTCTACTTCTCAGCTATGTATTACCCTTCAATCTATCCATCTATTCCTCCCATCTATCTCATCCCATTCATTCAGTCACCCACCATCTAATCTATTTATCTTGTCTATCTGTTTATGTATTCATTTTCCCAATTTCCCATCCAACCATCCTTTTTCATTTCCTCTCATCCCACCCATCCATCCACTCTCTTTAAATTTCATCCCTTTCCATTTATTTCATTTCTTCCTATCTTATCCATGCATCAAGTCCAGTCCAGTCCTTTCCATTTCATCCCTTCCCATCGATCCATCTACTTCCATCCCGTTGCTTCCCTTCCCATCCATCTATTCAGTTCTCCCAGTTTTCCCTTACCTTGTCTTTAGTCTGCCTAACTATGTCCAGGTATGCCATTCCTGGTTTGACCATTAACATGTCTGCTCCCTCCTGTAYGTCACGCTCCTACAAAGAAAATATGCATATATCAGTTTACTAAGCCTTSTACTTGAGCTACCTCTCTCCTGGCATAAGCCATGGGGTGTACTATTCGTCATCATAAAATAACTGTTATGAATGTCACGTTCTGATTGGTTTGGAGAGCGTGTTATATGAGAGCACATTGCACGCGTGCGTACTTTTCGTTGCGTCATTCCTACCTATTATTGTAATTTGTATTTTATAAAAGAAATAAAAAACTTGCTTGCTGTGCTGTGTGCAGTCATAAAGCACTTGGGGGATTGGCAGAACACTTGAGAAGTGTCCAGAAGCACTCCGCTACCCGTCATGCTTCTCCTAACACTTCTCTCGTGTTCTGCCAATCCCCAAGTCTGCTTTATGACTGCACACAATACGCGCGTGCGTTTTCTATTTCTTCAGTCCCAAACCTGCAAGCAAAGGCTGTAACACAAGTGAGCCAGTAGAGATGCCACCTCCCCCCCCCCCCCCTCCCAGGATAATTTGATTCTTACCACGGCTCTCATAGCAAGACCCTTGGCTCCTGGAGGTAACTGATAGCATTGACGATCACCAAACATTGGTGCACTCTTGGCTGCATCCCTGTAGAGCAAGGAGCAATCAGACTGAGCTCCTATTTAAAGCATTCCATTTTATTTTCAAAAGGTACCTGAATGGGCCATAAAACTTTGAGGCAAATTTAGCACTGTAGCTTAGCAAGGACACCTGGAAACAGTGAAAAGTTAGTGATTCATCAAATTGATACATTTTTCATCAACATCTGCATCACTTCTCATCATCCTTGCTATCATCATTAGAGAGTTTTAGATTTACGTTCAYGGCAAACGTGAAACGTCAGTTGACCAGTAAAAAATTCTTTTAAATTACTGAAAAAGAATCGCAAAAAAGTCCAAGTAGTAGAAAAACAAAAGAGTATTTGAGCTTGGTGAGAAGGTTCGTAAAAGGTAAAGTTAAATTAAGGAAAACAATGAAAACGTGGTCACGTTTGCCGTTTGCGGGGAGARAAAAAAGTCAATCTGAAACTCTCTATTATCTGTCATTATCATCACCCACAATTATCTTCATAGTCATCATCACCATCATCATCATTACTAACCAACATCACTATCATTTCTCATACATGCCATCAGTTTCATCATCATTATCAACCATCACCACCACCTTAATTTGGTCAACGCCATTGTTACCATTATAGCATGCATGGCAACGCATTGGGGAGGGGGACTACTGGGGAGGATCCCCCTCCCCAAAGCACCGCCATGCAGGGTATTACCATTATGATAAGACCTGCATACATGCTCTTGATTGTATGCCTATTGGTAAATGCTCTTACCACCTTACCTTACCACCAAACCCATTTTTCTTCAGGATTCTCTTGATGGCTGATACTCTGTTATCCATCATATCTGATGGTGCAACCACATGACATCCTGCAAAAATACCAGTCAAAATGTTTCAGTGACCAAAACACTCCCTTAAAAATTAGAGTGGGGAGTTGAGATTCCAAATATGGTAATTTATCAAGCTTAGATGTACATCTATTTCATGTCCAGTGAGCAGGGAGTGATTTGTTAGTCTCCCTAAACAGAGGCTCGTGGATCAAGCACTTGCCACCAGATCAAACTGGAATTTATCTAAGTTGATTTTACATACCAGCTTTTGCATAGGCCAGGGCTACTTCTGCAAGTCTTTGAATGCTAGGCTCATTGTTAATTGTGCCATCAGCATTCAGTATACCTGTCATAATATATAAAGATGAAAGGTCACAAAACATATCTCAAGAAAAAAACATTTCCAGAAGATGAGGTTTCTACAACCTGCGAATGTATACATTGATACCCTGACAGTACAGGACACCCGATTTCATTAGAAAGGGCATGACAATAACCATAGCTACTACGTAGGCAATGTTAAGCTGGATAAACAAATACCGTATATTACTTATTCACCCCTCCATTCATTAAAATAATCTGTCTAATCCCCTGCCTCTATTTTATCCATCCGTCAATCCATCCCTCCCTCCCTCCCTCCCTCCCTCCCTCCCTCCATCTGACAATTTGTGAGAACTATCAAATTATTACCGCCACCCAGTTAGCCCAGTTGGTAAGAGCATTGGTCTGTTGTGCGGAAGGTTGTGGATCAAGCCTCGGCCGGACCAACACTCAGGGTCTTAAAATAAGTGAGGAGAAGGTGCTGCCTTTGTAATTATATTTGCAAATGGTTAGACCTTCAAGTCTTCTCGGACAAGGACTTAAAACCGTAGGCCCTGTCTGTCTTCACTATATAACCCTGTATAAGGCGGACGTAAAAGATCCACTGAAGTGCTAGTGACGACCATCTTCAGTGCCCGTGTTAACCAGCTGCCTTATCAATTGGGTCGCAAGGCCTGTTAGGTATTAAGCCATCCACCCAGGAGTGGTAAACACATTAGATTAGATTAACTATTAAAAAGGTTTATTTTGTAAAGCTTACTTACCACAGTGTCCATGGTCAGTAAAAGGACAAATGCACACATCGCATATGACAAGAAGATCAGGGAACAAACTCCTCAACTTCTTAATCCCAAGAATGGTTGGACACACATCAGAATCAGCATTTGTACCCCTTGAATCCTTGAAACGTTTAAGTAATTTGCAAGATAATTAAGGTAGTTTCAGAATAGGAAAGTAAATTTGATGCAGAAAAACAGAAGGGATGAAGAGAATCATTTTCATGTTGGCATCCACAAGTGCCTGTTATTGAAACGTAAACTATTTTTTCAACATAAGTTAAATTGGGCTTCTTGTTATTGCTACTGCAAAAAGTCTCACCTTTTCTAGTCTGGAAATAACTCCAAACAGTATAACACTCGTTAGGCCTTTCTTGACAAGAGGATTGACTACTTTCTCCAAGTTATTCACTCCAATCCTAAGAGATAAAATATTTTTTGGTTTATTTTTGACCTATTTCATAACTTGACTTAACCCTATGGCATGGTCTAAATGATTTACAATATCTGTTATGAATCTTGTATTTTCATTGGTTGCACAAGTGTGCCTTGTGTGAGCATATAGCATGTACATGAATTTTCTATTTGGTCATTCTTCACTCACATAATGGCTATTCTAATTAGTGTCTTCTAAAGGAAAAAAAAAAACTTGCTGCTGTGCTGTGTTAAGTTATAAAGCACTTGTGCTGCCTCCCTTTTGCTAATCCCAGCATGCTTTAGAACTGCACGCAGCATATGCTCATGTTTTCTATTTCTGCATTTTCTTCCCTTCCACTTCCTCTTAAAACAAGTTCTTGACTTGAGTGAAATGATGTGATCTTCATTTGGTTTACCTGAACTGTCCTGGAAGGCTAGTTATTTCTTCTAGATCATCAGCATTATCTCTGAAGAATCAAAGATGAAGRAAAAAAAATCATTGCTGTACATGTTGTCATTTAATGCCTTCAGCCCCCCCACCCACCGGATAATCTAGTCACCTCACACCGCCCTGCCTTAACTATTTTCTGCAAACCATTTAAACAGCAGTGAGGTACTGAGAGAATTAGATGTCTTGCTCAAGATCATGACAAAAGCGTGCTTGTAAATATGGCACTAATCTCAACCATATGGGTGGCCGGCCCAGAATGCATGGGTGGCTTGCATTGTACTACAGTACAGTGCTGTCTCACTGTTGTTCAGGTTCGATTCTCAACTGAACCACATAATTATGTTAGTTGAGTTTGTCTGACTGTTCTCTCCATTGCCATGAGGATTTTCTCAGGGTTCTCTGGTTTTCCTCCCCCCGTAAAAATATCAACATGTGGATGTTGTCAGTGTCGTGTGTTGTAAATAGTTTTCGTAGTGGTGGTAGTCCGTGTGAAGCAAACCTCATGAAAGTGCTCCTTTAGGGAAGCGATGGTCGTAAAATAACTCATATGTTTAGCCATCATCAGGCCTGCAAATCACGCATCGAGTAATTAAATTATTAACTTAATATAAGCTTTAATTAGATAATATTGTGTCTATTCATGCACAAATCAACTAATCAAGATTAATAAAATACTCTCTTTCAATTTGTTTGATTGTAGCCTTGGAATCAAATAAATGCAAACCAAAGTTCTATCTTAAAGGTTCCAACCTTTTTTTTCAAAATCTTAAAATCAAATTTTTTGCTAAGCTTACTATGCTATGATCGATTACGTAACCATTTGACATGTCCCCACAAACCATGCAATTAACCAAATATTCCCAAACACGACCCAAATTCGATACAAATACTACAACTTACGATATGAATAGAGGATATATGAGGTTATATGGAGTGATGGTAGTGTCCGTAGACTGCCATTTCCTTGTTACTTTATGGTGATAGCCACTGTGCAGTGCAGCACGCCCAATAAAGTCCGCCATCTTGAAAAAAGAGCCCACAGTATATATTAACCTCAGCGGTTAGCTATCATAACCAAGCTTAAAACTTCATGTTGGGAAATATTAGTGTCAAGATCTCAAAGCTTATTTAGTAGAACGCAAGGTAAGTACTACATGAAGTGTTAGTGCARTATTACCTCGAGACTATCATTCATAGAACGTTTATATTCAGGTTGGTAAGTTTTTGATATGTTTTTCTTAAATAATTTTAGCTTTAAATGCAATAAATCTATACATTTTAGAAAAGTAATGTTGTAAAGAGTCAAGAATTGATGTTTTTGGGTAACTTTGCTCGTTATTCAATATCAATTCGTCTTATGAATGTTTAAAAACAGCTGATTTGACGTTGTTCTAATTTTTGTCAGCAAAACTTTATGCATAAAATAAACTCCAATGAAATCCTTATTGGATTAAGTTTCAAGCATTTCTTAAGCATATAAGGCTGAATATTTATGTATTTGGCAATGATTTGTATTGAATTATGAATCTTGTTTTTTAGATAGTATAATCCTTGGTGTTTTCTCAATATGATTGAAGTCACATGTAATGATCGACTTGGGAAGAAAGTCAGGGTTAAATGCAAGTATCCTTTACAAGTACACTTTAAATAGACTGTAAAGCATAATTTTGGACAGGTTATTCCTAGAAGAAAGTGTTTTTTAAATATTGTAAGTGCAATGGAAAAAAAATTGGTCAGGTTATTCACAGTGTTTTTTAATTTGGTAAGTTCATTGGAAAAAATAGRACAGAAAGTTTCATTTATCATTCTAAAACTCATGAATATTTAATGAGGAGAAAACAAAGCAAATCACTACTGTGACGGTGGTTTGGAAATGTGTTTTTAATTTGCATTAAATTTCGTAAACTTTTTCTTTGATTTTCTTCAAGAAATATTCATGAGTTTGAGAAGTAATTTGGAACACTTGAGAGAGTTCTTCCTCCGATTTCCAAACACYRAAAAGTGAGTTGGAMAAAACAAGGCACAGAGGAAGAASTTTCTCGCATATTTCAAATATTACATATCATATTAGCCTTAACTTCATTAAAGCACGGATGACACAATTGGAGACCTCAAGAGGCTTGTTGCAGCCCAAACTGGTACAAAACCAGACAGAATAGTACTTAAAAAATGGTAAGATTTTTTCCTTCGACAGGACTTGAATTTTATTTATTTTCTTTATACACTTACMGATGTGTTTCACTTGCCATACGGTTTTGCAGATATGGTGAAATAGAAAGTGGGTCAATAATTTAAAGAAGGAAAAAAGTTGCAAAAGTTCTTACAGGAAAATCAGAATTGAATGAGAGGAAGCAGTGGGTAGAGAAGGGGAGGAGGGGTTAACTAAAACAGAGGGTCAGGATGAAGGAAAGGGAAGGGCTGCGGAAGGTAAAATTCTCAATCCCTCCCCCCTCCCCCTAAAAAAAATCTATGTATTTCTAGTGACAGTATTCGGCTTAAAAACRAAATTAAAATCAAATCTAGCCTCCACTTTTAACAGTGTATGTTCCATGGGCCCTGAAAACCTTATTTGCCTTGCATGGAGTCAGGGCGGAACAAGCATGGTTTACCTAGGCTTGCACCTCCCTGTAATAAAAATAAATGGTAACTGATATTTATTTTGTAAGCTTTTTGTTTATTGACTGATTGATTTTTTGGTTAATTTTTTAGGTATACCATCTTTAAGGACCATATCACATTAGCAGATTGTATCCTTTAATTTGATCAAAATTCTGGTATCATCATCATTATCATCACCATCATCATCAACATCATCATCATTATCTTCACAATCATCATAATCATCAACACCATCATCATCATCAACATCATCACCAACATCATCATCACCATCATCACCATCATCAACACCATGATCATCATCATCAAAACCATCATCATCATCATTATTAATGTAATGATCCAAGTTGATTCCCTTGACTCAACATAGATGAAATTCATGAYGGCATGAACTTGGAGTTATATTACCAGTAAAGCATGGAATAGATGTCACATAATATGTATATGGAACCACATAYCAAGCACATGCCTCCACAATACTTGCAGACCAAAATAATGGTAATGGCGCTTGCTGGATTCAACAAATATGTCTGGAAAAACTGAATCTCATAAATTTGTAAATACTAACAAGGTTCGCGTCTTTCTAGGATATAATAGTTTGTACTAGCTTCCTACGCAGATGTTTTTAGGGTTGTCAAGCAAAGTTTCTTTCCCCTCAATCAAAGAGAGAGAAAAAAGAAACATTGCATGATGATCATAAAAACTTAGGAGGCTAAGTTTATACTTAAACATTTTTAGTATCTTCAAGGCTTTCTCATTTGGATATGATAGTAAATATAGTAATTTTTGCCATTATAAAACACAATTCCTTTGGAGGCATGACATTTCAGCTATTTTTGGTTTTTGGCAARATTGCATTTCTAGTGGGAGAACCTTTCATTTTAGTCATTCTTATTCCCATATCCCAGTAACTTAAATCCCGGTCCCAGTGATGAACCCTGGGGTAAATCCCATGATAGTGATTTTATTCTCTATTCCTAGTGACCTAAATCCCGGTCCCAGTGATGAACCCTGGGGTAATCCCATGATAGTGATTTTATTCTCTATTCCTAGTGACCTAAATCCCGGTCCCAGTGATGAACTATGGGGTAATCCCATGTTAGTGATTTTATTCTCTATTCCTAGTGACCTGAATCCCGGTCCCAGTGATGAACCCTGGGGTAATCCCATGTTAGTGATTTTATTCTCTATTCCTAGTGACCTAAATCCCAGTCCCAGTGATGAACCCTGGGGTAATCCCATGTTGGGGATTCTATTTCCCATTCCCAGTAACCTATATCATGGTCGCAGTGATTAACGTTGGAGAAATCGTATGGCGGTGACTAATTTCACGATGACCTAAATCCYATTTCCAATCCATCCAATCACATTTTCCAGCATAAAAGCATATTCAAACTGTAGTTCACAGTTTTGAATRTTTTGCATGAATATTTTGAATTTGGATTTATAAGGATGCTCTCCCTACTCGGAACCGTTTTCATCGTATTTTACTTAAAACTGTCAGACCAACATGGTTTATTTTGAATCCTCGTATTTTGAAAGTTGGGAATAACTTATTTTTTTTTTTATTTTAAAAAAATTTTTTAATCTTATTTTTTTTACATTTTCTGTGAAAAAATCTCTTCATTCATGTCAAAAAATGATCTTGAAATTTACTTCGAGTTCGAGATTTTCTTTTAAAAAATTCTTTTGTTATTGAAATTTAGGCAGGAACAACGTTA